AATGAATTTTTAATAGTTGTTGCTGTTGGATTTTTTATTGATTGAATATCAGGAATATTTAATGATTTATATAAGTCTTCAATAGTTGTAAAATAATCAATTGCTGTTGTAAAAAGACAAGTACCTGTGAAAACTTAAATTATTTAAAAAAGAAATTTGATTTTACAGAATTAGACTAACCATGTTTTTCCCATTCAGATTGTTGAAGATATTCACTGGGCATCATACAAAAGAATCGTTTAATCAATGATGTACTTAGTTGTTCAGTATTTCGACAATTACGTGGCTGGTCTCGAGGTGAAAATGCTCCTAATGTTTGAGGCCATAGACCATGAACAATTAAACTAAAATTATTGCTAAGACGGCATTGAAATTCGTTATCTCGAACTTCTTCGGAAAGTGATGCACAATATGTTGGTGTCCTAAATTTTTCTATGTAGAGGAATAAATAAATTATTTCAGAAAATTTACCAGGAGAGTGCAAGCTGAAGAGAAGTAGTTTTGGCATCTGTATTACTCCATTCATGTGGTTTAGATTTCCAATCAAAATCATAGTTAGATTCCATATTTGGTGGTAATGGACACGAATTGTTAACAGGTCCTGCATCTACTCGGCACCACATTGCCATCAAAGTAAATAAACATACTACAGCTAAAATTATATGAATAATATGCTTTCAAATATCAAAAGTAGAGACTTATTATCACGATATTCATGCTTAAGTATCATTCATAAAGAACGTTCAGATGAAAATTGCATTTCTTGAGTCGCCATTTTGTATGCCCACTTTTCAATATTTTCAGAAGGATTCTATTGGTTCAAATATACTGCATTTTTTAGGTTGTTCTTTTCAAAATACTGATCTAGACCAGAGACCGAAACGAATAAAAAAATTCTCAATTCAATTCATGCCAAAACAAGACATATCATTTAATTGTCATCAATAAAGTTTATCTACATATTGGACGAGATTTCATTTAGGTTTTCGCCTATTTATATGTTATTTCTATCGAGTTAGAGAAATATGGAAGCTTCAAATTTGAGTTACGGTGCAAACTAGATTTTGGGTTTTGTAAGGCGCCAGAAATTCAAAATTCGAGTGAATTTTTTTCTCGTTTATTTATATATGACTTGATAGAGCTTCAAAAGTTGGTCACGAATATATTCTTTTTATTTCGATTCGATCACTGTTTGACTGAAAAAATTGAATGATTACAAATGTGATAAATGCAGCTATATTGCGCTTCTTTTACAGAAATGATTAAATTTCAACGATATTTGTTTTTTAAACTTTTTAAAAATATGATGCTTTGAATCCTTATTAAAACACTGAGTAAAAAAGTATTATTTGATTAGATTGAAAGCTAAAAAAAGTTTAGGGCCCTCTCCGCACAAAAAAAGTTCATTTTCGTGAGAACTACCAAATTGAAATAAATACATAGGAAAATAGCCCGTCGTCTGCTCTTTCAGCATCAATAAAAAATTTTCCTAAAACATCCATTTTTTCCCGAAATATTTCAGAGTACCAGCTTTTTGAAATATCCAAAAATTTTTTTCGTTTTTCCTCATTCTTCGCTTTCTCTTACGCGCATCCCAAATTTCTCTTTCATGGTTCGTCCAACATATTAATATTGTTTTTCGTTGGAAAGAGCATTTCAAGATGCTGGGCAGTATGTCATCCTTTTTTTTGAAATGCTCCTTTTCTTTAGTCAGTATTATAATTTCATTACCATTTTTTGATAAATTTTTTAGTCTTTGAGTTTGTAACTTCATTTTCCAATTAAAAAGGAGGTGTTTCAAAAAAAAGGGCAACGCAGCGCCCTGCATCTTGACATGCTCTTTCCAACGAAAAAAAAACAATATTAACATATTGGATAAATAGTTAGAAAGAAATTTGGAATGCCAAATAAGTTATTTTTCGTCCTTGTTTGATGAATATCTCCCTTAAATGAAATAGGTTTGTGCTCAAAGTTTTATCATAGACTTTCCTCAATGTTCAGTGCGTATCCTCAAAAATTTCAGCTCATTCTAACGTTCCTGAGTCAAGATCGATTTCTGACTGTGTAAACCTATCTACTTTTTTTTTATCACAAGAAATAGAAATGAATGTTTTATCTCCTTAGAATCGTCAAATCATGAACTACAGCAGTATCCATTATGTTTTTTTAAATTTCGTTATATTGCTGAGAAAATCCAGCTTTTTTCCGATCAAAAATTCAACTGTGATCAGCTACGCCAGGAGTCGATTTTTGGTCGGAAAAAAATGTCTTACAAAATACATGATTCTATGAAATTTTCAATGCTGATTTTGAATATGCTGTCTATTTTGCTTTTTCGCTAAAACATGATAATAAAAACCGAATAAATACGAGCAAATTTTTCACACATTTCTTCGATTTCACTACCAAATGAGTAAAAAGTTGGATTTTCTCAACAATAAAATCAAATTAAAAAAAAAAGGATACTCTTGTAGCTCATGATTTGACAATTCTAAGGAGGTAAAACATTCACTTCTATTTCTTGTTGCAAAAAACTAGATAGCTTTACACGATTAGTCCAAAATACGTAATAATAAGCATGTCGAAGTATTTATATCGGAGAAAGTTTTTTAAACTTTTTTAGCTTTAAACCTAATCAAAGTACATTTTTTTACTCAGTTTTTTATACTGATTCAGAGTATCATACTTTTACAAAATTTAAAAAACAATTATCGTTGAAATTTAATCATTTCTGTAAAAGAAGCGCAATATAGTTGCATTTATCACATTTGTAATCATTCAATTTTTTCAGTCAAACAATGATCGAATCGAAATAAAAAGGATATATTCGTGACCAACTTTTGAAGCTCTATTAAGTCATACATAAATAAACGAGAAAAAAATTCACTCGAATTTCGAATTCCCGGCACTTTATAAAGGGGATTTTATTGTTTGTATTACAGGGTTAATAAAGAATATTGCAGTCGACAAAGTTAAGTAGTTTGGTTTGATTTTGATCTCTGATCAACACCAATTTAACTTGAAAATTTCATAAAAATACTTAGAAAGCAAAAACATAATCGGGATAAATGTTCCGGACGTCTAAATGTGTCTGTTGCCTTCCATCTTCCAGTCTGAAAATATTCAATTTTTGCTGTTTCGAACCTTCTTTTCCTAGGCATTCTTTATGGATAGTCTCGTACCTATAAGACTGTTTCTCATTAATATTTTTCTTTACTTACTGATCATAAAAAATACTTCTCAGCTCACGCTCATTTATATACTTCACTTCGTCTTTATAATTGATCAATATTGGACTTTGATCGATGAATCTACTGAGACACAAAACTGATGATTACATTCTGGTTTTCGTATCAACAGGTGCATGAATTCCTACATAAAATGAAAGAAGATTTAACGATGCATGTTTTGATTGTATCAGATGTATGACTTCCCACCCATGCAAACGGATAAAGGGCATAAACGTTCTTTTAATGCACTGGTGTTAAAAAATGAAGAAAAAAATGTTCTTAAACTCGTTTACTCGACAAATAAGAGATATCAATGAGTGTTAATCAGTTATTTTTTCTGATAACGCATTTCTACGAATTTAAAGAAGAAATTTGGTTTCTGAACGTGTTTTAACGTACACAATAGACAAATTAGTCGAATAAACATGCATTTTAACAAGGATATTCATTCATTTTAATGAATTAAATTATATAAAATGAAAATAAAATAGTCGCTAGTTTTGTCATACGTATGTAGACAGATAAAAGACAACACATTGTTTTGATACATAGAAGATTGAAATCTTATAAATACTGATCCATACAACTAATCATTGTAAGTAGAAGTACTTTTATTGTATTATTTCAAGATAGAAAAAAAAATTAATAAAAAGAGAAATATTGATAAAGATAACCAAAGAAATTCGCTAGCTGCACGGTTGTCAAACTCAAGTACCGAAAATCAGGAGATTATTTTTTGACGTTTAAACGTGATTTCTGATTTCAAGCTCATAAAATTCTACTTTTTGCCCATAAACTCAACTTAATCTTCTAGAAGAAGATGATAATGAAAGCGTTTTCGTATGATTGGGTCAAAATTATAGAAAGACTAACATTCATATAATGGTAATGTTTATTTTATAATAAAATCTGTTTCAAACGACCTCGTTTATTCAAACGAAAACGTAACGAATATTCATTCTAATTTTTAATTGCTCGAACTAATTCTCTATTAATTATGCTATGATTATCACCTTATTAATATTTTATATCTAAAAGATCATAATAATATCGGCAAATTAAGTTTCTTTGCTGGATATTATATCTATTGAATGTGCAAATAGGTTTCTAGTCTTTTGTAATCTTTTATCGTTTTTAAATTCTTCTATGGAAGAAAAACAAAATTTGTTAGTCTTTGATTTTGCTTTTTAATCATTTATATTTTCTATGACTATGAAAGGTTTACCCAGTTTTACTTGAAAAATTTAAACTTTCAAATGATTTTCTAATTTCTCATATTCATCGATTGGTAAAGGTAATATTGATCATTTTATATACTTCTGCCTCTGACACTGTAAAAATAATTTATATTTAGTTAAATAAACTAAAATTATCTATAAACTACATTAAGATATCATGCGAATAATTTTTTATTGATTAAAAGTAGATACCAATCGATTCAAATTTATTGAAACCAAATAAAGCAAAGTCTATTCAGGAAATCCACGTAAAACTATCATTTTGAATAACATTTAATTAAAGAAAAATGGATTATAATATAGAATTTTACGTCATTTTTTTATGCGACTGGCTTTTATCGTCAAGAAAAAAGACTGAAGCCAATAGAAATCATGAAAATCAATTTCTAAATTCTGGAAAATTTTAATCATAGAAATATTCAAAAAAATCAACGATCCCGAAGTATATATTCAAGAGATTTAGCAACCCTGATTAGCTGATGTTCCAATTTATGTATTTTTGATGCATCAGATATATTTTAGTTTATTGTAAAAAAATGAAAATCAGTAGCAGTCTAGTGGATATAATCAATAATAAATTAAATCAACAGTATGATGAAGAATTATTCTCTCTTTCATTTACAATATCTAAATTAGTCATTACTAATGCCTAAAATCTAAACAAACTGAGATTTAAGAAATTCATAGAAATATTTGAGTAATATAAATTTTGTAATTGAAATGATTCTAGAAATTCGAGATACTTTCATCTTTTATTTCAATATATTTAACAAAGTATATCTTAAGTAAATAAACGGCATTCACCGACTTCATGTATTCATACATATGCTCTTATTGGTCATCATCAATTATATTATGAAACGTTCTTTGTCTTATATATATTGCAATTGATAATTGATAAGCATGCTTTGATATATTTATCAATTACATAAATACAGGGGTTGTCATAATTATAGACCCCCCTCATATGTACATAGAAAAATGTTTATTTTATTACAATAAGGAATGATATTGATCTGCTAGGTGCGCATCTACGTGAGACTAATTACG